GAGAGATGTACTTTCGGACTGTTATTTCTCACCATTGGTGTATGGAGGTGATACCCACCCTTGCTGAGTGGTCTGTTGAGCTAGATCACATTGCTGACTTGGAGCACCTAGTGGCATCTGGACATGATACATGGGATTGATTTCAAGTTACCTAAACCGTATGGAGTGCATTTGTGAATCTCCAGATTTCTTGCAACTAATCTCTGTGTGAGGAGGTGAGGATTGTGCCTTGGAACCATGGTGGGGGTGTGTGTCAGTGTTTCTGTTCTTGGTGAGTTCTTTCTCTCTCCCACCTCCCTTTCCCTGTCCCTTCTATTTCTTAATTTTTCTTTATTTCTCTAACACTTGGTTATGTATATCAGTTCGCCTCTTTTTCAACTGTTCTGCCTTTTATACTGTTTGTTGGTCTTCTCCATCCCTGATGACCTATTGTGCTGTTTATAGACTTACAGTATATTGGGATTGAACTTCCTCTCAAGGCTACATTATATTATTTAGAGCAGTGGTTCTCAACCTGTGTAACCTCAGGACCCACATTTGTCCTTGGTCATTAAATCGTGACCCAAGTTGCACTGCAATGGAACGCAAGGCATTGCAGTACTGCCCTTTTCCGATGTGGGCAATAGAACTGTGGGTGGGAGGTGCATTTGGGGTGCCATTCAAATGAATGGCAATGCAATGCACTTCTCATACCAAAATGCTCGGTAGCTGCGATTGCGAAGTACAGTGCGTTAATCGCACGGGACTGTGCGATTAACGCACTGTACTAGTGTGAATAGGCCTTCAAAAACACACAACCACAGACACAATCTCACACATGCACACTCCACAAAAAAACAAAAACTTTTTGTTCTTTTTTTTAAGATCCACCCAGTCTCCCTACCTTCTGAGAACTGTGGTGGATCCTTAGGCTGGGGTCCGGTGTGGGCTGCTGTGCTGTGATGGAACTCCATCCATATGTCCAGTGCTTGTACAGCTCCCTTGTAAGCCCTATAGAGGTGCCGAGAGCCAGAATGTGGCGTCACTCTGGTCCAGGCACCTCTACAGGACATGAGAGGGAACTGTAAGCAATGCACATATGGATGGAGCCCACCCTACCTCAAGCTGACGCTTGGCGCCGGCCCGCATATTTTGAATAGCTGCTTGGCGCAAGAACTGACAGTGCTGCGCTAGGGGGAGGCTGAGGAGCCTCTCACCTAGAAAAGTGGAAGGCACACAGGGACCCACTGAACAAAGGGTCGGACCCACTTTTGGGTCACAACCCACCAGTTGAGAACCAAGGATTTAGAGGTTATGGTTACACATTTTCAATTTTCTGTCATGTTTCATGATACAATGAGCTGTAAGTTCCTTGTTTTCCTTTTCTTACACTTTGTATCCTTTTATCGTTCTGTCCCAGACGTCTATGAAAGGTCCCGCGTTTAAATACTCGTTTGTGTAAGCTCGGTTTTGTGCACATAAAACGAGCAAAAATTCCAAACGCCTTGGTGTGAGTGTAGGCTTAGTGAAAGGTGTTTGATCTGTACTCTTTGTATTGTACCGTACTGTGCTTTTATATGTTAAAATGCTAATAAAATTGAGATTGAACTAAAGCGAATGTTTAGTTACATCTGAAATCATGCACATAGTGCAAGTTATTGGATTGTTTTGTATCATACATTTTTTTTAAAACATTTAGATGAAAAATGACAAGAGATTTATCATTAGCAAAACTTTGAGGTATCCCAAATACAAATACACCAGAATCCCTTTCATTCTGGGCCTTTGTGTTCTGCAATTTCATATTTAATTGGCTACTTTAAAAAAAAAAAAACCTAAATAAAAAAATGACAGTTGCTCCAAGTAACTTGAGGAACTCTTCTGAGTACACAGGTAAATTAGCACCTATGTGAAAGGGCTGGATCAGCAGAGTGAGCACAGCCCAATTATTGCTGCCTAACGTTCTGTAGGAACAGGAAATCTTCAGGGTAAAGCATAGCATAACAAGTACAAAATCCAGCAATGAGAGTGATGAAAATGTACACACATATACATCATCATTGTACCATTATATTACCACAATAAATGCGAATCAATTACAAAGGGGCTTTATTTATACACTGTGGGTTATTTTTCCCTATTCCTCTTAAAGGCGCCTGCCACTGGTTCTGGCAAGAAATTACCACACTAGGGGTGTTTTTCTTTTTTTTTCTCTTTAAAGCATCTTAGCCACCAGTTTCTTATCGGACAAAGAATACTACACAAGTCGTTTTCTGTCTTTAAGGGATTATTTTAGCCACCCATTTATTCTTGGGCGAGGGCCAAGGACCCTTTGGACTCTTAAGTAGATCATTCCTGTAGTGAATTCACTGTATTTTCTCATCTGGAACACAGTCCTTTTGAAGTGTCCATTTCCTTTTCCTGACACTGAATTTTCTCCAAGAGGTCAAGTCCGTGGAACCCAGTCCTTCAGCAGCTGAATATCCCTTCAAAGTCAAAGGTCTCAGGTTTTCTAGGTCTTTAGGGGATTAATCAATAGATAGTTTCTTACCCTCAAAACAAGTTTGTGTAGATGGACTATACTATGTAAGTTGTTCATGACAAACATTTAAGCAAAGGCATAGCAATTCATGTGATGTATAGAGTACTTTATAGGGTGAACAGTCAAATAGCTAAATTAGATGAGGACCCCTTCCATCTTTTTTATGGTATGAAAACTAACAGGGTTATTCACAAAAGGGTGAAGAGTTTGGAGAAGGCAGGAGAAGTGAACAATCTAGAACAGCTTAGCTAAACTGGAAAGTGGAATTGGATAATTTTTTCAAATCAGCTATTTTGTCCTAGATTGTTCCCTTCTCCTGCCTTCTCCAAGCTCTTCACCCTTTTGTGAATAACCCTGAAAATGAGACATCTGCACATTGTTATAGAAGGTGTATATAGACACTAATTATAGACATCAGGAGAGAGGCCTTGTCTTTCAGAGATACATGCAAAAAAAACAAATGAAGTCTCAAGAAAAACACTACAATTGCTAACACTGAACTCACAGATGTCTCCCTTCTCTCTATATGCTAAGAAAATATGTTATCTTCTATTATCTGCTTTATTTACAAAAGTGCGGAGTGCAGATTAATAAGGCAAAATGATCCAGTTAGAGGATCACATTCCTTTACTGCTTATTTCACACTTGAAGTGTACCTGTGCCCAAACTTTGGTCATTAGGATATATCTAAATGTGTACCAGAGTAACATTTCCAGGAACACAACAGTAAGATCACCATTGCTTTATTTTTTTGCATAAAAATCCTTTCTGTTATTGTAAAAGTCATTTTTCAATGTTTTATGCTTCTGGACAATATTTTTCAGGGTCCAGTGTAGCAGGTAAGCTGCCACATCAACTAGACAAAGTGTATATTATAATTGTTCATAATATTGTAGCTAAAAAAATAATATAATAGCTGACTAATCAAAGTCAAAATAATGTAAATTGCTGTCTTAGTGCCTCCAAATATTTATTTTACTCGCTAGACAATGAAGTACAACTGGATGTTAATCTAGGAGCAGGCTTTCTGTCATGTATTTATTTGCCCATCCCTCCACATATGCCCATTTCAGCTATTTTTAGCTGCTGCATGACCTCATTTTGTAGCCTCGCTTTACAGTTTCTTATAATGGCCTTTGGAATAGGGTACAAATACTGATATTAAATAGCTGAATATAGAAAGCAGGGAGGCTTAATTTGCAAATTACTTACATTTTCATTGAAGCTCAAAACATGTCTATAAACCTCTTTGGAAATGTTTTCCTTTTGAATATTATTCTTTAAATTGCTTTCCCAAAATATATTAACAACTCTAGCATATGAAATTGAAACAATTTATAGTCAACGTCTGGATCCCGGAGAATGGTCCCTTCAACTGAAGGTGTTTTGGGACCTTTGCTACTTGTTTACTGTTATTGTTTTTAACAATGTATAGGATCCATTTTTAGCAATGTAAACCGAATGGACAGGAATTCTTTTGGCACTTTATACTGTATATTATAATAATTGTGTCCTATTTAACACTATGTGGGATTTTCATTTAGTAACAAAAGTTGTGTACAGCTGCAGGGTGGGAATGCCATGGCCTGCAGCTTAGCCCCATGCCCTCTTATTAGGGGGGCCTCTTATTAGGATTTTTATGTTTTTAAACTTATTAAGAGTGCAATAAATTGCTATTAGTTTTATGTTTACATTTACTATCATTCGTTTTGGCATATTAGTTATAGAAAGTAGTGATTGCCAATAATTTTAGCTTGGTGGTGATAATAGAGTGTTTTTCCACTGCAGCTTTTTAGCACTGTTTGCTACAACTTTTAATTTTGAACAATACATTTTTATTGAGAAATATATCAGTAACAGATGATAAGCATTGTAAAAGGTGACAAGATGACAAGAGCAGTAGTCATACAGACACAATAAGAGCTATATAAAACTTCCAAAGCATACATGTCAGATTGTTAAAAGATACATAAAAAAGGTGCAAGGCATGTATATCAAGTGCACATAGACAAATAGAATAGTGTATGTCAGTTAGGTATGGGTCCTCTATGTAACTAACTAGCAGCCTTATATTTTTAAAAGAGGACAAGAGATAGAGAAGAGAGAAAAATAAAGAATAAGAATAGAATATCGGTAATTTCAGGTCTGTGTGACCAATAAGAGAAGGAAGGTCAGGAGGATTATCATAAATTGTACATGTTAAGGGATAACATCGGAGCTAAACTCCTATGGTTTAGGCACATAGTAGGTCAACCAGGATTTCCATAAGTAGTGAAATTTGTCTTGAGACTGGAGTCTATAAAAAATTGCTTTCTCATTTTCGCATTGGGAGTTCAGCTTTTAAAAAAGCGTTTACAACTTTTATTTGTGAATGACATAACATTATATTTCTGATCTTAAAATGTATTTATAATCTGATTTGTCTGCAATATTTTTTTGAAACAGGAATATTAACATTGTGCTTTCTCTATTCTTACAGCTGAGAAGGTCACATCACTGGGAAAAGATTGGCATAAGTTCTGTTTGAAGTGTGAACATTGTAATAAGACTCTAACTCCTGGAGGGCATGCTGAGGTGAGGTTTGATCACTCTACATCAAAGCTGTCTAAGGAAAGTTTGAATATGCATTTCAGTATAAATACTTTATATGTCAGAAAAGGAAGCTTGATTCACAAATAACAATGTGTAGTATGTGTCCAAAACAAGCTTTTTATTCTTGAGTCATCTATTGGCCCAATTTGCACATGCGATCCCATGAGAACAAGGCACCTGCCATGTACAATATTCTTACCCAATCAGTGTACTGACTTGTGCACCTACAATGTGCATCAGGGTATTAGAGCCATACCGCCATCACATCTCTGGGTCCATTCATATTCATCCTTCTGTAAAGTCTCTGTCCTCAATGTAGAGGAGGTTGCAATAGAAATACCTGTATATCAATATAAAGGAAGTCTCGGATGTATTAAACTTCCCTGATGTATTTCTATTGCAATGTCCTCTACATTGAAGATAAGTCGGTACGCTGACTGGGTGAGAATATTGTACATGGCAGCATTTCAGTAGTTGCAATGCTACCATGCTCGTGCCGACGAGCAGTGCCCGCTTTTTTGGGTCTGGTTCGTATTACTGTACATACATTACAAGAAGTTGGCTCTTGTTAGAAATGCAGGGGAGGGATGCCCATGTCTTCTTTATCACCAATGCTAGTTTCCAGGACAACTCAAAATTTTCAAAATCCAATTGTCACAGCAACAGAAAGTGAGCTGAAATCTTCTGAACAGGGGCACACACAGCAAAACAAACATTACCGGGGGTTAACCCTTCCCTATGCTATCCAAAACTAAAAACTATTTTTTTGGCTGGAGTAACACTTAAAAAATGTACCTCTTCCAACTTACTGTACTTACAAATTCAACTTAAGAATAAATCTACAGATCCTATCTTGTTCATAACCCGGGGACTGTATACATTTTTATACATAGATGTTATATTACATTACATATATGGATAAAGGGTGTTTTCTTAGAGAGCATAGATGCTTTATAGTGGGAATAGTGGATTGTTCTTGACCACTACCGGTTTCCCTTAGCTTGTTGAACTTAAAAATAGTGCAGAGGTGACATTAGGGGTCTAATTGACCCATTATGACTCCTTAAATAATACCTCCACCACCACTATGCTATCACATAGGAATACGACCACTATACTATCACATAGGGGTCTTTTCATCCCTCTTGTTATAGCAATAAAGTTAGGTAAAATGCTTTAAAAATGAAAGTTTCATTAATTAAATAAATAAACATCCCAAAAATCTCTACTACTATGTGACATAAAAATTGCAACTGCCACCATTTCATTCTAGAGGGTGTCTCCTTTCAGAAAACTTATATGGTTTTGGGGTTTTAAGAAAATCTCAGGCTTAAAATGTGCATTTTAACATGTGTGCTAAGAAAAAAAAAATTACCTGGCAGCAAAAAGGATAAAAAGTTAACGTAGTTTGTCCTGCCACTACTCTCCTTAGACAAAGCTAATGTATTCCACCTCTTTTTAGTCCTGGGTATGTATCTCTCATGCTCCACTTGTTTGCCAGGTCTAAAGCCCACTTGATCTTTAGCAATAAGGGTAGGTAAGAAAGTATTAATCCTGGTAGCAAGGATCTGGGCTAGGAGCTTAACATCAGTGTTGATCAAGGAAGTGGGACAATAAGTAGCCCAAGACGTGTGGTCTTTTTGGGGTTACAGAATCATACAAATGTTAGAGAGGACGAAATCTTGCCCAAGTATGGTACCTGTTTGCAGTTAATTAAACATACACACTAAATGAGGAGAAAGGATGTCTGAGAACTTTTTATAATATAAGGCCATGAAGCAGAGGCGTAACTAGAAACCTCAGGGCCCCAGTGCAAGAAACCATGAAGTGTCCCCACCTAACCCCCCATCAAAAAAAGCACGCTTTTGATACTTTTACAAACTTTTATTAAAGTTACATTAAACCCTCAGATTTTTTAACATAAAACAATACTGTAGTGTGTGCCTTACTGTAATCCATGGTTGTTCCCCTTCTCTTTGCAGCTCTTCCTTTTAAATCCTTCTCTCTTCTCATGCTAGGGGAGAACTTCCCTTTGCAGCTGAGTGCCTCTTCCTGTACTGCTGGCTCAGGTTGTGAACCTTCACACAGACACCATGTATCCATTTCAGAGACAAGGCAGTCTGCTGCAAAACAGAAGTTCTGCCCAGCAAGAGAGAAGGATTTAAAAGGAAGAGCAGCAAAGAGAAGGGAAACAACCATGGATTACAATAAGGCACACATTACAGTATTGTTTTATGTTAAAAAATCTGAGGGTTTAATGTCACTTTAACTTTCAATCAACACAATCAACGAAGGGAATGTTCAGCTTCTTCATTCAGACACAAGTTGAGGTCATTACATCCTTTAAGAAGGGACGCAGAATTAGGGAGAGATGGAGATTGTTAAATTGAGCAGAGGCCACATCTAGAGCCCCTTCCAGTTGTCTGAGACGTTAGGATCGTTCTTTCTTTCGTTAACTAGTGATGTGAATCAGATGTCCCCTAATAACAGACCTCTAAGCAGCCCATAACATGACGGGAGAAAATAAGGTATGTATATTAAGGCGCATATATTCCAGTGTGCAGCTTGGAGATCAGCTGCAATCTGGGGATTGGACAAAGGGGATTCATTAAGTGACCAGGGTTTAGGGCCAGAGCTGGGCAAAAACATATTTAAAAGAACAAGATTAGGAACGTGATCAGTCCAAGGAGCGGAACCAATAGAAACTGATTCCACTTGTGGAAGAGAATTACGCAGGGTGAACACATGGTCTATCCGCGAATGGGAGTTGTGAGGGTGAGAAAAATGGGTGAAATCCTTTGATAGCGGATGGAGCTCCCTTCAGACGTCAGCCAGATTAAGCTGAGTAAGCAAAGACTGAATACCGGATGAATCAGCATGGCAAGAGATGAGAGATACTTTTTTTTCCCGATAAATAATTGTTGTAAAAGACTGCTGTTGTTGGCGTAACTAAGCCTATTGTTACCAAAATGTGTCCTGCAATTAGCGTAAAGCATCACTGGCGGAACTACCAGGGTTGCAGCGGTCCTTAATATGATGCTTGTTCTTTAACCCTTTCGCTTTCTAATATAATACCCATTATTAAAAAATAAAATATAAAAGATGAGGTTACGATGCGTAAATAGATACCCAACATGCCCAGGTAAAGAAATGCATGCATCCATGTAATGGCAAAAAAATACAGTACCCCAAATTGTCCGTACGCGACACTTTAGAAGCCCGTACAGGTCATCAGTTTAGAGATATTCATGAATACTGGCCCTTGTAGGGAGATTGTTGTTTTCCTACGTAGGCACCCCCGACGCATGTTTACATTAATATGCGCACACTTGCAAGGGCGGGGGACTTAAAACTCTACTCTAGTGTCACCTTTCCAGTCCAAAGAAGCTATTGGAGTGCAGATTGTGCCCCAATAGCTTCTTTCACGTCTTCTGCAGCTAGGGAATGACAGCTGAGGAACCAGAATGGATGCATCATTGCTTCCATCCCCATTCAGCGGGGAGGATGATCAGCAAACAGATCGACGGGGAGTGTCGGGCTGAGGGTGTCGGGGTGGAATGAATTATTTCACATTAAGAGCACATAGACCGGTCAGGGATGGTTTGTGTTAAAGCTCTTTTACTCATTCTAAGAATATGCAAATTGTTTCTTGTCCATGGCCTGGGCACAGGTACACTTTAAGTTTAGGTACTACATTTTTGATGTCAACCAGGCAGAGCTAGTTTATGTATTACATTTTTTAAAGAGGTGTATTGCTTTTTCACAAACAAAATTATAGAGAACATAGTAGCAACAGAAACAAAGGGCATTAACAGTTTACATACAAGGACAAGTGCATGTGTATTTGACCAATACAGTATAATTGACAAGGAGGAAAAATGCATGTTCCAAACACCAAAATTCACACACATTTGTATCAGCACTTATACAGCCAGGTAGATCATTCCAGGAGGGACTGATGCTGCAGCAAACCCAATCCTCAGCACTACCCATCCATTTCAACTGTATCTTGATTATCAATCCATCTGGATCATATGGTTTTAAATTTGTGTGGACACCCTCTAGCTTGATATGTAAGTTTATACAGAGGTACCACTTGATTGTAGGTGGTATGTGTCTTTTCCAATGTATGGCAATCAGTTTTTGGCGTAAAACAACAATAGGATGATCAGTGTCCTTAGTGACGAGGGAATGTTTAAGTCACCATAATGACCACATATTCAACATAATAGACTGCAAATGTTTGGTGGACCAAATTTGTTGCTTATAAATTCAGTAATACTTGCCCAATAGATTGTAATAACAGGGCATTATCAAATAAAGTGCAAAAAGCTGCTTCTTCCGCAAGACAATGGGAGCACGAAAGCGAAGCAAGTTAACCCATTTTAAATTGTCTGTGCAAGAAATGAAGCTGCACTAATTTATGTCTAGATGCAATAACTGAAGGTATGGTGCGTGAGAGGACTGTCTCCCACATTTCATCTGTGAGAGATGGAATGTCAGCCCCCCACCTAGTTACCCAACAGTACCCAGCAGTAAAGTAGAGTAGTATTGCAATATTAGTTTAGTGTGGTCTTAAATAAGAAGCCTCTTTTCCAATAGGTATGGTTAAAAATCTACATTTGCCAAACCCAGTTATGTATTTGGTGTCTATCTGTATTATGATACAATTGGAGCTTAAAGAGGGTGGCCAAGGAAGCTTTTTGTCTACATGTGGAAATCCTCCTATTCCAGTCCATCAAACTGAAGATTGATTTCAGAAATATTTTTGTTCCTTTAAATCTAATTTATATTGTGTATATGAAGGATTTACTCTATCTATCTAAAGGCAGTTCACCTCCTTTATTTTCATAGCTGCTTTTTGATACAAGTACAATTTAGCCATATCCAGGAGCGCAGATTTATTTTTCCTATATAACCTGATAAATGTGTAACTCTTTTTTTCAGCATGATGGAAAACCATACTGCCACAAGCCCTGCTATGCAACATTATATGGACCAAAGGGTAAGTTTTTGTTACATATAGTATAAGAAACATAAAGAAAACACTTAGAAGTTCTGCTAACCCCTCGGTTAGGTGTTTCACAGTTCAGTTTACTCTTTTTATATAATATCAAATTCAATCTGTATTTCCTTTGACCAAAAGCCCACTTTTCAAATACAACTTTATTTTGTTTCTATTTATTTGTTATAATAATATATCATTTTAATATAGCCTTTGTAAGAAATATACTGTTGTAGTTTATGTTTATAATCTCATATATGAAATTTGTGAGTCTCACTCACAGTCAGTTGAAAAAGGCTCAACTGGTACTGGCAAAAGTAAACCATGCAGACAATGGGAATCATTTTTAAACTTTAAAGCAGAACTCCAGCCAAATAAAAGCTTAACCCTTGCAGTAGGGCTACCCCCGCACTGCAAGGGTTAAGGGCTCATTTTGTTTAGGGAGCTAAAATACCAAAGTTATATTCGCCCAAACCGCTATGCCAGCTGGCTCCTATACCACTCACTCCAGTCTGTTTCCTCTTCACTCTTCCTGAATGGTAAGGAAGGCAGGCTGCCTAGCAACAAGTGAAGCTGGCTTCCGAGCAAATCAGGAAGCCAGGAGGCAGGTCATGACGTGCTGCCCGGCTTCCTGATTGGTCAGAAAGCCAGGCTGCCTAGCGGCAAGTGAAGCTGGTTTCCTAGCCAATCAGATCATAACCCACCATCCCGCTTCCTGATTGAGCGGGAAGCCAGCTCCATGCTCCCTTGCGGCACTGCCGGTTAGAGGGAATCTCCCTCTGACCGGAAGTTCCGGTATCGGGGTAAATGCTGGAGCATTGGGTACTCACCCAAATATTCTGTATCGGCACTGATACCAGCAAGCAAGATTGTTTAGGAGCCAGCTCCACTGACATCAACTAGAGAAAACACATTGAAAGTTGGGCGCCAGCTGTAATTTTTAAGGAGCATTGGCTACCTGGCTCCTGGGACTTGTCCAAGTCCAACTTGCATTGAGAGTCCTGAGTTTATTGCCTTTCAGAGTCCTGACTCCATTGTGTAGCAGGGTCTCGAGTCCTGAGTCTGCTGGCCGAAGCGGCGGAAGTCCACCCCCTGGATTTCCACTCGCCCCCACGCAATTTTCACTCGCCAATTGCGAGTGGAAATTTTGAGCCCTGCATATACAGTATATAGTGTTTTTATTTTTTCGTTTCTTTTCGGGGGAAGCTGATGTATCTTGCCCAGGGCCCAATTAATATTAAAAATGGCGCTGCAATAAATGGTCGAACACAATTAAGCAGGCAAATTATGTGGCTGCTCGCTGGGGTCGATTGGGGGGGGGGGCTCAAAATTTTGTTCTGCCCCGTGCGACTGTAACTCTGATGGGTAAGGTACAAACTCCTCTCCAAGTTGTTAATGATCTGCAGCGTTGCCAGCTGCTTCTCTAGATCCAGAATCTGGACTTACAAACAAGCTCAAACTTTAAACAACAGTATTCACCTTCAAGCGGTTCTTTAAGGACTGCATACATATGCAGGATATGCATGGAATTGCATTACCAATCACAGAAGACATAGTTAACACTATCTGTATGCAAATAATAAAGAATTTGAATACTAGTACAAATAACAATAATGTTGTAGCTTCATTTCAAAGCTTTACCTTGCGCTGCTACTCCTTGTGTCAATCTGCTCTTTGTGTTGAACTATGTGCGTGTGTTAAATTATGAACTTAAAGCGGACCTTTACCCATCTCTTTAAAATAACAACAAGCACACATTTAGAAATGTTTAGGAATGACAATCTACAAACAGATACTTCTAGATAATTGCAGGCTTTGTATTCTTTGCATACGTTATTTATCTTTTCTTCTCCAGTCTTCTGACAGTGGCCATGTTTACTAAGGACAGATTACTAGATCTCCCTTTACTTCCTGAAAATTTGGCACTTGTGACTAGGACATGTGACCATGCACATCATCTCAGAGGAGGAAAATGCCTTTCCCTGAGATTAGATTTCCCAGCAATGCTCTGCTGATGTTACCTTCCCACTGTGCATTGCTTTGGCAAACTGAAGTCATTTTGCCCTTTCAAAGCAGGAAGTGAATGCTCTGCAAGTTTAAGTATTTAAAAATCACAGCATTTTGCACCTGACATGTCTATGTTATTATTAATCATCATACAAAGAGGAATGCATTGGTAGAATTTGATTTTTGAGTGTAAAGGTCCGCTTTAACACAGCACTACACTTTACACAGCGAACCTCACTAGCCCTATTACTTAAATACAAGGTTTAGGCAGCAGCAAATTATCAGCTGCAGATGAAGGTATTTAAATGTAAGTACACAGTATTTTTCTTCCCACACAGCATTATTTACCACCCACACTTACTGACTGACAGTGCACAGATACCAACTATATCCTTGTGCTAAACTGTGCACTCAACACAGCACTTTACACATCAAACCTTGCACAGCCAACCTCACTAGTAAAGTTACTTAAATTCACTCTTCAAGCAGCAGTGATATAGAATATCACTTTGCTTTTCTTACCTGTTACAAATCATTATAAACATCTACTTACCAAAATGTATACACTTGATTTGTTAGAGCACTTTCTGAATATTTAAGTTATGTTAACAGTGGCTTTAAATTTAATTTTTGAATTTTCAGGTGTTAACATTGGAGGAGCTGGATCATACATATACAAGAAACCAAGTGTTGACAAACCCATTTCTCCGACTGAGTCAGCCCCAAAGATTGAAGACAAAAAGGTTCCCGGACCCACAAGAAGTCTCAGTAAAGGTAAGGTATCGAAGGAAAGCGTAGGCACTGCATATCCTGATTTCTTGATCATACATCATAGGACATAGGGAGTTATTTCTTAGACCACTGGGTTTTGGAGCTACTCTTAGGTATTAGAACTCACAAAGTGTTTGCCCCTGTCCTTGCGTTGTTGCACTCTCAGGGTGTCCAAATTGTGGGATATTTAGACGACCTTCTGCCGAAGGCTCTATCTGAAGTGACACTGTTGGTATGTATCCACTGGATGATTTGAATGCTGCAGCGTTTCAGGCGTATACTCTATTTCCTGTAGTGGACTTTACAAGCACAGCCCTTGGTGAGATTTTGCATAAGAGTCCTGGGCCTGATGGTGGCCTCATTCAATGTGGTACCATATGCTCATTTCCACTCCAGACCACTTCAACAGAGCATTCTAGCTGTGTGGAACAAACAGACTTACTCTCTAGATTATCCAATGTGTCTGTCAGCCAAGGCAAGGCTCCAGCTGGCTTGGTGGACCTCTGATTCAACATTAAAGATAGGGAAAACCCTTCCTCCCACTGTAGTGGATTTTACTGCTGATAGACGCCAGTCGGTTAGGTTGGCGAGGTGTCCTTGGGACCACAACTGTACAGGGAACATGGTCCATGAGGGAATCCAGACAATCAATCCATGTACTGGAGCTGAGAGCAATTTGACTTTCCCTGCAGCACTGGATATGTCACCTTCAAGGGCAAATGATGAGGGTCCAGTCAGACAATGCCACAGCCATGCTGTTCACTAACTGTCAATAAGGAACTAGAAGAAGATAAGCAAACCTGATCATGTCTTAGGCAAAGCTTTATGTTCCAGCCTTAACGGTCATCATATTCCCAGGGTGGACAATCAGCAGGCAGACTTTCTCAGTTGGCACTAGTTGGACTCCGGGAAATGGTATGTATCTGTCCCTGAAATGTTTTTGGAGCTTTTCTGCCAATGAGGGTCACTGAACTGGGGTCTCCTGGCATCCAGACTCAAAAACAAACAGGACAGGTTTGTATCCCAGTCCAGGGATCTGAGAGCATTTGGGGTGATTGCTCTGGTGTCTCTAATCTACACCTTTCCTCCCTTGATGATCCTTCTTCATTAGCTTGGCAAAATCAAGGCAGAGGTCATTCCAGTAATCTTTATAGCTTGCAAATGGCCCATACACGTGTGGTGCATGGACATCCTTTGTGGATGCTTCCATGTTGGTATTCCATTCTGCTTCTCTGTTGCTGACTTTGATGGCTTGGCGGTTGAAGCCCAGGTTCTGAGGGTGAAGGTCTTTCTTATTCCTACACTCTTAAATGCCAGGAAGTCCACCTCTTGCAAAGTGTGCAATCACACATTGAGGGCTAACTAACTTTGCCTGGTGTGAACAGTTTCATCCTGGGAAATATTCCATGGGATAGATTTTGATATTTTTCCCATCAGGGTTGGATCAGAACATGGCCCTGAGTACTCTCAAGGGAAAAATATTGGCCTGGACTGTCCTTTTTCAGCAGCTGTTAGCCTCTCATTTCTTGGTAAAGGTCTTTATACAGTGGTTGCTCATGTAACTCCTCCTAGATGCCCTTCAATGATGTGTGATCTCAGTCTGTTACCTTCTCTCCAGCAAGCTCCCTTTAAACCTGTTAGAGATCTCTCTAATGGTTCTTACGTACAAGGTGGCTTTCCTTGTTGTTATCATCCCCACTAGAAGGGGTTTGGAGCTGGCAGCACTATCATGCAAGTAACTGTTCCTGGTTCTTCACAAGGATAAGGTCATTCTCAGGCCTAGGTAAGAACAACCTATGGTGGTGTCTTTGTTTCATCTTAATGAAGACATTGTCTTTTCTTCCCTTTGTCCTGCACTGAAGCATCCTAGGAAGGTTTCCCCTCACTGCTTGGGTGTGGTCGAGCCATCTGAATTTACCTCTCAGCTATGTTTTCCTTCAGATAATCTAATTGTCTTTTTATTGTTCTTGAAGGACCTCACTGGCAGCTCCCTGCCTCTCATTTCAGCACTTCTAGGTGGATTAGACAGGTCATTGTACATGTCTATGCTGTTACTAAAGTTGGGTATACGCGTTTCTATTCAATTCACCTGCTGGCTGAACAAAGAAAATAGAACAGATTCCTCTATTAATGCTTATTAGTGTTAATCGACACATAGACAGTATTTATTTTTTAGTTACTACTGCTGCAATATTACTGTTTGCTAAATTCCTTTACCTTTGCTCTCTTTCAGCTTCCAGCATAACAACTTTTGCAGGAGAGCCCAACCTTTGTCCTCGCTGTGAAAAAAAAGTTTTTTTCGGTAAGAAAACATTTGTGTTATGTGTCTTGCATTTAATGCCTTCATAAATGATAATTCCTCCCTTCTGTGATACTGTATCATATTCACAATGCTGAACTTCTGGCACTTTTAGTAAAAGAATTGCAGCTGCAGAGCTGATCTGCTACCCATGTATCAACAGGCTTGCAGGTGTTCTGACTTATTTGCTGCTGTAAGTCTACTGGCACCGGTGGTTCAACAAGCATGTGCTCTGCTTTTGCAGCACAGTGCTAGCAGCTATGGGTATCGTCTGCTTCATCTGATGCTTAATATAGCTTGCTACTTCCTGTCCAGCCTCCTATCTCTCCCCTTATTTAAATCCTGCTCACGCCATCTCCCTTTGCCTTAGCAACACTCCTGTGGCATCTGAGCTCCCATTTGTGCCTTTGTTCCTGATCTGCTTTTCCTTGGACTGATCTTTCATGTAACAACTCAGCATAGTTCTCCTGATCTCCATTTTCTCTGCTGCTAACTTGCTTTTGCCAGCGCTTTTTTACTAACAGCAGAAGCAGTTAACTCATACAGCATCAGGAGTGTTTTTTTTACGTTAAAAATGAAATATTGCAAATATATTTTGCATTATCCTTTCTTCCTAAATAAAAAAAGCTTGTTGTCTACATAGTCCACATGCGTTTCCATCTAAATATATGGAATACATATCAACACACATGTTCATGCATCTTCATTGAATAAAATGAAAATGTAATGTATCTTAAAATGGGGAGGTGTGAATGTAGCAGACAGACAAGTCAGACAGAAAAAGCCAAAAGGTCAGGAAACTTCTGCTGTGCTGTCTCCTTTAGATAACCCGTAGTGCTCTGGGAATACTTTATCATGTATTAAATGTATATTTCAAAATCAATAATGATATATGGGAGGTGTGAATGTAGCAGACAGACAAGTCAGACAGAAAAAGCCAAAAGGTCAGGAAACTTCTGCTGTGCTGTCTCCTTTAGATAACCCGTAGTGCTCTGGGAATACTTTATCATGTATTAAATGTATATTTCAAAATCAATAATGATATACCCATATATATATATATATATATACAGGTGAAACTCGAATAATTAGAATATTGTGCAAAGTTCATTTATTTCACTAATGCAACTTAAAAGGTGAAACTAATATATGAGATAGACTCATTACATGCAAAGCAAGATAATTCAAGCCGTGATTTGTCATAATTGTGATGATTATGGCTTACAGCTCATGAAAACCCCAAGAACCCCAAATCCACAACCTCAAAAAAGTAGATTATTACATGCAATCAATAAAACAAGGATTGTACATAGAACAATATTGGACCTCTGAAAAGTACAAGCATGCATATGTACTCAGTACTTGGTTTGGGCCCCTTTTGCAGCACTTACTGCAATTACTTTTGCACGATATTCTAATTATTCGAGTTTCACCTGTAGATACATAGTAAGTCAGTTTGAAAAAGGACACCAAAAGTCCATTGAGTTCAGCCTATAGAGAAAAAAAAAGAGAAGAAAACCCTAAAAGAGAACGCTATGCCCACGGTTACTCACAGATGATTCAGAGGGATGCAAAATAAAAACCCTATAAAGCATTGTTCAATTTGCTCAAACGGGGGAAAAATCCTTCCTGATCTCAGTTTTTTTTTACTTGTTAATGTTAATATCTAGTAATATTCTGTGCATTTAGGAATACCTCCAGATTTTTTAAAACAGTTAACTGTATTCCAGTAATCTTTATAGCTTGCAAATGGCCCATACACGTGTGGTGCATGGACATCCTTTGTGGATGCTTCCATGTTGGTATTCCATTCTGCTTCTCTGTTGCTGACTTTGATGGCTTGGCGGTTGAAGCCCAGGTTCTGAGGGTGAAGGTCTTTCTTATTCCTACACTCTTAAATGCCAGGAAGTCCACCTCTTGCAAAGTGTGCAATCACACATTGAGGGCTAACTAACTTTGCCTGGTGTGAACAGTTTCATCCTGGGAAATATTCCATGGGATAGATTTTGATATTTTTCCCATCAGGGTTGGATCAGAACATGGCCCTGAGTACTCTCAAGGGAAAAATATTGGCCTGGACTGTCCTTTTTCAGCAGCTGTTAGCCTCTCATTTCTTGGTAAAGGTCTTTATACAGTGGTTGCTCATGTAACTCCTCCTAGATGCCCTTCAATGATGTGTGATCTCAGTCTGTTACCTTCTCTCCAGCAAGCTCCCTTTAAACCTGTTAGAGATCTCTCTAATGGTTCTTACGTACAAGGTGGCTTTCCTTGTTGTTATCATCCCCACTAGAAGGGGTTTGGAGCTGGCAGCACTATCATGCAAGTAACTGTTCCTGGTTCTTCACAAGGATAAGGTCATTCTCAGGCCTAGGTAAGAACAACCTATGGTGGTGTCTTTGTTTCATCTTAATGAAGACATTGTCTTTTCTTCCCTTTGTCCTGCACTGAAGCATCCTAGGAAGGTTTCCCCTCACTGCTTGGGTGTGGTCGAGCCATCTGAATTTACCTCTCAGCTATGTTTTCCTTCAGATAATCTAATTGTCTTTTTATTGTTCTTGAAGGACCTCACTGGCAGCTCCCTGCCTCTCATTTCAGCACTTCTAGGTGGATTAGACAGGTCATTGTACATGTCTATGCTGTTACTAAAGTTGGGTATACGCGTTTCTATTCAATTCACCTGCTGGCTGAACAAAGAAAATAGAACAGATTCCTCTATTAATGCTTATTAGTGTTAATCGACACATAGACAGTATTTATTTTTTAGTTACTACTGCTGCAATATTACTGTTTGCTAAATTCCTTTACCTTTGCTCTCTTTCAGCTTCCAGCATAACAACTTTTGCAGGAGAGCCCAACCTTTGTCCTCGCTGTGAAAAAAAAGTTTTTTTCGGTAAGAAAACATTTGTGTTATGTGTCTTGCATTTAATGCCTTCATAAATGATAATTCCTCCCTTCTGTGATACTGTATCATATTCACAATGCTGAACTTCTGGCACTTTTAGTAAAAGAATTGCAGCTGCAGAGCTGATCTGCTACCCATGTATCAACAGGCTTGCAGGTGTTCTGACTTATTTGCTGCTGTAAGTCTACTGGCACCGGTGGTTCAACAAGCATGTGCTCTGCTTTTGCAGCACAGTGCTAGCAGCTATGGGTATCGTCTGCTTCATCTGATGCTTAATATAGCTTGCTACTTCCTGTCCAGCCTCCTATCTCTCCCCTTATTTAAATCCTGCTCACGCCATCTCCCTTTGCCTTAGCAACACTCCTGTGGCATCTGAGCTCCCATTTGTGCCTTTGTTCCTGATCTGCTTTTCCTTGGACTGATCTTTCATGTAACAACTCAGCATAGTTCTCCTGATCTCCATTTTCTCTGCTGCTAACTTGCTTTTGCCAGCGCTTTTTTACTAACAGCAGAAGCAGTTAACTCATACAGCATCAGGAGTGTTTTTTTTACGTTAAAAATGAAATATTGCAAATATATTTTGCATTATCCTTTCTTCCTAAATAAAAAAAGCTTGTTGTCTACATAGTCCACATGCGTTTCCATCTAAATATATGGAATACATATCAACACACATGTTCATGCATCTTCATTGAATAAAATGAAAATGTAATGTATCTTAAAATGGGGACGTGTGAATGTATCAGACAGACAAGTCAGACAGAAAAAGCCAAAAGGTCAGGAAACTTCTGCTGTGCTGTCTCCTTTAGATAACCCGTAGTGCTCTGGGAATACTTTATCATGTATTAAATGTATATTTCAAAATCAATAATGATATACCTATATATATATATATATATATACAGGTGAAACTCGAATAATTAGAATATTGTGCAAAGTTCATTTATTTCACTAATGCAACTTAAAAGGTGAAACTAATATATGAGATAGACTCATTACATGCAAAGCAAGATAATTCAAGCCGTGATTTGTCATAATTGTGATGATTATGGCTTACAGCTCATGAAAACCCCAAGAACCCCAAATCCACAACCTCAAAAAAGTAGATTATTACATGCAATCAATAAAACAAGGATTGTACATAGAACAATATTGGACCTCTGAAAAGTACAAGCATGCATATGTACTCAGTACTTGGTTTGGGCCCCTTTTGCAGCACTTACTGCAATTACTTTTGCACGATATTCTAATTATTCGAGTTTCACCTGTAGATACATAGTAAGTCAGTTTGAAAAAGGACACCAAAAGTCCATTGAGTTCAGCCTATAGAGAAAAAAAAAGAGAAGAAAACCCTAAAAGAGAACGCTATGCCCACGGTTACTCACAGATGATTCAGAGGGATGCAAAATAAAAACCCTATAAAGCATTGTTCAATTTGCTCAAACGGGGGAAAAATCCTTCCTGATCTCAGTTTTTTTTTACTTGTTAATGTTAATATCTAGTAATATTCTGTGCATTTAGGAATACCTCCAGATTTTTTAAAACAGTTAACTGAGCTAGGTAGAATGAGCCTATTCCACATTTTCACAGCTCTAACTGTGAAGAAGCCTTTCCGTATGCAAAGGTTAAACCTCTTTTCCTCCAGATGCTGAGAGTGCCCCATTGTCCTTTGCAATGACCCTAAAGTGAATAATTTTGCTCCAAGCTCATTATATGGACCATTTAAGTACTTATACATAGTGATCATGTCCCCCCCTTAATCACCCCTTCTTCAGAGAGAACAAATTCAGTTTAGCTCATCTTTGCTCATAGCTCAGCTCCTCCATGCCTCTTTTGAGTTTGCCCTTCTCTGCACTCTCTCCAGTTCCCCAACATCCTTTTTATGAACTGGTGCCCAAAACTGAACTGCATATTCCACATAAGGTCTTACTTATACTTTGTACAGGGGCAGGATTATGTCTCTATCTCTGGAGTCTAGACACCTTTTAATACAAGAAAGTATTTTGATTGCTTCAGAAATTGCAGCTTGACATTGCATGCTATCATTCAGTCTATGGTCTGCCAGAACACTCAGATTCTTCTCCATCATTGATTCCCCCAAATACATTTCCCCTGTAGTGTATGAAGCATTTGAGCCCCTAAGTGCATAACTTTACATTTATCAACATTAAACTTAATTTGCCAAATAAATGCCCAATCACACAGTGCATTCAGATCTGCGTGTAAGTCTGACACATCCTGTAAGGACTGTATTCCACTACATAACTTGGTGACATCTGCAAACACAGAAATAGTACTTTTAGTCCCAAACTCTATATCCTTTATAAATAGATTAAACAGTAAGGGGCCCAACACTGAACCTTGGGGGACACCACTAACAACCTCAGCCCATTCAGAGTATGAATCATTGATCACCACTCTATGAATACAGTCTTTAAGTCAGTTTTCTATCCAATTACAAACTGAATGCTCTATACCTACAGACCTTAACTTATACATTAGCTGTCAGTGGGGAACAGTGTCAAACACTTTTGCAAAGTCCAAGTATACTATATCCACAGCCATTCCTTTGTCTAATGTATTGCTTACTTAATAAAAAGAAAGTAGATTTGTTTGACAACTTCTGTCTTTTGTGAATCCATGCTGGCTATCACGTGTAATATTATTTCCAAGCAAAAACGTATGCATGTGATCCTTGCTCAAACTTTCAAGTATCTTCCCAACTATGGAAGTTAAGGTTACAGGTCTGTAATTACTTGTTAAAGATTTTAATCCCTTTTTAAATATAGGCACCACAAGAGGCTGTTTCAGTATCACAAGCAGAGCAGAAACCAAAGCTCATGCTTTTAAGATTTTGTTGAAATGTAGTTGAAATGTGGAAACAACCATTTAGCATTGGAAATACATACGTCACATGGATTAGACATAGCCTTACAGCTGGAACAGGGAGATCAGACTGCCAACAACCTGTGCTGATTGCTGGGACCAGCCCCTCAAATATGCCAAGTATGTTTTTCAGTAGTGTGGAGCAAACTGGCCTGGGTTTGGAAAGATCCAGCTTGAAATCTGCAACCCTAAACCCCATTTATGTCTAAGGGAGCTGAATCTTGTTTTTGTTTCTGGCCTCTTTCAAGGCCAGTGTCAGAACCACGTACCTAGGGGAGTCTGAGTTGACGAGGGAGACCTCTCTTATAGCTCAAGTCCAACAACCACTGAATTTGGAATAGGTGTAAAAGGACAAGAGAAGCACGAGTGCCAGTAGTAGTGAAGTCCAAGACAAACATGTCGAGCAGCGAGGTACCAGAACAGCAGAGAAGGTGTAGTCGGGGACAGGCAAGGTCAGCAACTTGCGGGCAGCGAAGTACAGAGCAGCAATCAGGGGCATGGTCAGAAACAATCCAGAAGTGCAGAAGAATGGTCAGCTAAACCGGGTCAATAAAAGGACATCAGAATGCAGGGTACAAGATACAGGTGAAGGGAACAGCTGAAGACCAGTCCGCTCTGGAGGCTAGAATGTCATGACTTATAACCAATTTGGTGTGAACATCCGTAACGCACACACAAAGACATGCACACGCATGTGCAGAGGCGCCTGGCGGTACACAATTTTATAAGCCACATAATTTGCATGCACAGGTGCTCGTGCAGGATTCTGAGCGCATTGGGCCTGGCTTTCTGACAGACAATTTATAAGCCTTTGGGGTAGCTGAGCACTGCCATTGGGGACATGTACCAAAGCATTAGTGGGGAGCGGGTCTTTTAATAAGGCTACATTAAAAATACACAATTCCTTTAAATAACATTCTTAGGGATCCCTTAAAGGGACATTAAAGTATTTTCTTAATACACACTACATTTATTGTTTGCTGACAAATGTGGGGCATGCCAGAAGTGGAAGAGGTAATACTGGGCTGTCCTTATGGCTCTTTGTGCTAGTGCCCAATCTCCTGAAGTTGGCAGCAAAGCCCATGGTTAAGCATACCATCCTATGCTCCAGGAAAAGGATTTTGCAGGTAAGATAAAGTTTCTATTTTTGTACTATTGGTGTCAGGTAACCCTCCATACCTCTTTTCTGCTGTTTTGGTTAATGATCTGCTCCACAAAGAAGAAAAATGTTTGGCATCACCTTTCATGTACATTAGCAGCTGCTTGTGATGTGCCATTGCTGCACTCCAAAAACATGTATTTTCTTTTTTTATCTTTTGCTTCCCTGCTGGAACTTTGATGATGGTGCTTAAAATAAAAAAAATCTTTGTTTTCATGACATGTCTACATGAAAATGTACTTGTTCACATAAATTATTTTGACAACATGAAAAATGTAAAAAGAAATTACATTCAGGTTTTGAATAAATCATGTAGAAAAACAAAATAAATAAGATTACATTGTATAATACTGGTATTCTTTTGCAGCTGAAAAAGTGACCTCCCTTGGGAAGGACTGGCATCGACCTTGCTTGAAGTGTGAACGATGCTCAAAAACGTTGACTCCCGGTAGTCATGCTGAGGTGAGGATCTGTATTGGTTCTTACTTTTTTTCAAATGTAAAAAAGCTTTACTGAAATGCACACAATAGCTGATTGTAATTAATTGTACATTTCCTCAGCAGTTCTGGTTTATTTCACATCTTAGCTGTCTCTGTTTATTTAGGAAACAGGTGGTACATTAATGACATTGCATTGCAAATCTGTAGAGATATTCAGATGTATGGAATTCAGTGTTCGGGCTCATTTTTACCCAAAAATGTAAAACAAACAAAACTAATAAACACAAGAAGAGTTTAAATATTAATGGTTAAAAATGTTTAAAAGTCAGCAGAAAAATAATAGTTAAGGAGGGAGGAAGGAGTTAAAGAGGCCTGATTGTCTTTAACTAAGGGTTAATAAGGTGCTAAAGAGAAAGAAAATTTTATTGAAAACAAAAAGAAAACCCATTTGATTTGCAAATAAGTGGAACAGTTAATATAATGCTGTTACATTTAAACTTCTGAACACTGTTTGGGCACTATTAGGAAGCTTAAAGTGACACTAAACTCAAGAGTTGAGCTTGAGGTTTGTGGTTAGCTAAGGCTGCAGCCAGCAAGACACACAGATACAGGATTAATAAGCCCACACCAGACAAGAAAATATAGTAGGTGCAGTGGCAACAAGCAACCACCACAATTTTCTCTGTGGTTGTATGTCTGTCCTTATCTGTATGGTCCAACGATATGGCTACAGATCCTGGGTGCATCCTTACAGACACCAAAGTTCTCAAACACCTAGAACTTTTTTCTGCAGCCTTACGTTATTGTTTGGATGATCTGGCAGGTACTCCCCCATATCTCCAGGAGGACATTGAAGATTGAAGTGCCTAGAGGACATGCCCTTTTCTGGAGGATGTCAAAAGTTCATTTTGTCCTTCTCAAATCTTGGGTTCCATGCCCAAGCAACGTGTAAAGTTATGTGGCAAGGCCTGCTCCTCCAAATCTAGGAACAAACCTTCTTCACAATAAAGGGGCCCCTCACTTTTACAAGTGGGGAACATCTGACAGCTTTCTCAGCACTCTGGGTGAAGAACATTTTTGTCAGGGTTTCTTACCCTTCCTCCTCCAGCTGAGTTGCAGCATGCCTTGTTTGCAGTGTGTCTGATTATGTCCGTTCCTCTTTGGCGCCCTCTTATGACCACACCCGTAAACAACATTATTCTGCAACATACAACACCAATTCACTGTTTAACCAGCTGTAGGTCCATTTAGTCTCTACATTTGGGTGTGTTCAGATCTACCAAGTGCTCTGCTGTTGTTCCTGTTCTCCGTGTATGACCCTGGCTCTGGCTGACTAATCTTCTGGTTCCTGACTTCAGCTATTGTTTCCATTCATCCGGCTCCCATTTCTTCCTGCATTTGTTGTCCTTCAACTCCTAGGTTTTTTTAATCCTCTCATGTAATTATACATTGATCAGGGTCTAGTAAAAAGTCTGTATCCATTTCTAATATAGCATTAGTGGTATCAGTATCAGACAAGCTAATATGTTTGTTCACCTTATAACATTCTCAATATTTCCTACACAGAAACACATAACCTTCCCTCTTTCTTGCGAACATCAGTCTCGTAATCTAATTTAATAATAATCCAATTTAAAAATAATCCAATTTAT